AGAAGACAAGATCTCCTCGTTTGAAAATTCTAAGAGAGTCCAGAGTCCAGGCCAGGCAGTCATTCCAAGAGATTTCGCTTCCTGTTTCTCACTTTGCCATGTTTGGCGATGGCCCTGTGTCAGGTAGAAGTTGTGCTTTAAGTGTCTCGGGTACAAAAATGTCTGAAGTGTGTGACTCAAGAGCAAGGTGGTTTACTTAGACTGCTTCATGTCCTAGAATGCGTGTGCAACTGCACATAGGAACACAGGCAAAGTAACGGTCTCGGTTCTCTCAGGTTCTTTCTGCTGAGTCAGCAACATCTCACGGAGATAGTGCTGTTGGGACGTTTCCATTAACTAAAACGCTCTGAGGTGTGCAAATCATAAAATGAGCTGGCTTCCAGATCATTAAAGATGCTTGTTTGCTTTTCCGTGTATATGACCACAGCCCTGGATGGAGGTTAAGTCATGTAGTTCCCCGGAGAGTTTAGAATCCAGGCATGGCCTTGTGTGTCTGTAACGCTTGACTTGGGGAACTCAGGAGGGGATGGGAGACATGGAGGGTAGTTCTTTTAAAAAAAACAAAAACAAACATACTTGTTCTTTCTTGGTCAAAAGAATAAAGCAGTGGTTAAACCAGGAAAGCGAGTAGGAGTTCTTCAACTTTTTAAAAATTATCTTCAATTTTATAAAGTACGTCTGTCAGTTTCTTTTAAATAAGGGCAAGATGAGCCTAAGAAACCCATCCTCTAGATCTCATATTTTCATTAGATAGAACCATTGCAATGACAACCACGATCATTACACTGTTATTATTTATTACATGTTTATTTCCTACATTAATCGGATCTTAACACATTAGCAGTCAACTCTTTCCTTGCAGGAGGAAGCCTGCTCAGCGAGCCCTCGCTCTGCAAAGCTGTCTCCCCAGCCTGGACCGTATCAGCATTTGTTCTGCACAGCTGCACGGCTCAGGCTGGCCCCAGACTCCCCACTATCTATCTCTCTCCCTTCCTTAGTGTGCCTGGTACAGACACACAGGGGACCAGGGGATAATGGAAGTTGGCTGTGGATGCTACAGAAGAGATTTTTTAAAATTTAATTTTTATTTTATATTGGAGGATAGCTGATTTACAATGATGTTAGTTTCAGGTGTCCAGCAAAGTGATTCAGTTATATATATATATATATATATATATATATCTCTCTTTTTTTTTACACAGCTTTTCTGCTCTAGCTTGTTACAGAGTATTGAGTAGAGGTCCCTGTGCTCTACAGTAGGTCCTTGTTGGTTACCTATTTTACATATAGTAGTGCGTATATGTTAATCCCAACCTCCTAATTTATCCCTCCCCGCCACCCGTCTTTCCCCTTTGGTAACCATAAGTTTGTTTTCGAAATCTCTGAGTCTGTTTCTGTTTTGTAGATGAGTTCATTTGTATCCTTTTTTTAAGACTCCACATAGAAGTGATCTCATATGGTATTTGTCTTTCTCTGTCTGACTTACTTCACTTTGTGTGATCATCTCTAGGTCCATCCATGCAGAAGAGGTTATTGATCTAGAGCTCAACTTCGGGGTAAAACTTTGAAGGAAGTTCAGAACGGGTTCTTTCTAACGTTTGCCCAGAAAGGGCATCATCCCCGAGTTTATGGGAGACGCTTGGGCTGTCTCTTGAGTGCCTCCCTGCTTATCACTGAAAAAAAAAAAAACCCTGTTGGTTATGTGATCACATGTCCACCTTTTGAGATAGCAGTATATTATTAATCACCAGCTCCTTAGCAATCGGCATCAGGACAATAAAACCTTTGTACCCACGGTTTGTTCTTTCAAAGCCTTTTCGGCCCATCGTCATTTTGCCTGTCAGCAACCCCACAAGGAAAGGCGGGTACTATTTCCCCCACTTTCCAGGTGGGGAAAGCTCACACGGTTTTTAGAGGAGGAGCTGGAACGGAACCTAGCTTTCCCAGCTCGTTTTTCTTTCCTTTCAGCCACAGACTCTTTGGATTGTGACCTATCCGCACTTCCTTCCACCTCAACCCATGAAGACCTATGGAGGACAAAAAACAGAACACCTTTTTTTCAGAGTGTGCTCTGGAAGAAACTTTGTGCCTTGAAAATATTAATTTTTTGCCAATCACTAAATTCTCAGTGTCCATGAATTATTTTTCTATTGTTTGCCTAATGCTCTGCTAAGCGTAATGACAGATCAAAATATATAAGACAACCTCCCTATTCTGAAGTAGCTTATCGTCGAAGACAGATTGTAAGATGACCTCCAAGGCCCCTTGTTCTTGTGTAATCTCCCCCTCTTGAGGGTGAGCAAGGCCTTAATTTGCTTCTAGCCAATAGGATCCAGCAAAGATCATAGGATGTTATTCCTGTGATTTCATTATGTTATGTGGCAAAGGTGAAGGGATTTTGCAGATGTAATTAAGATCTCTAGTCAGTTGCTGTAAGTTAATCGAAAGAGAGATTATCATGGGTGGGTCTGACCTAATCAGATGAGCCCTTTAAAAGAAGGTCTAGAGGTCAGAGACTCAAAGCAGCATGCTCTCTCTCTCCCTTGCTGGCCTTGAAGAAAAACTGCCAGGAGATCTACACCTTCACGGAAATGAATTCTGCCCTATGAACTTGGCCAAAGATGCTGAGCCTGGCTGGGACCCCAGCTCCAGGTGACAGGCTGATGGCAGACTCCTGAGACCCTGGGCAGAGGACACACCTAACCTGTGGTGGCTGTGACCTCATAAATGTATGTGGCTTTAAGCTGCTAAATTTGTTCCACAGCAATAAAAAATGAACGCATTTATGATCTAGGAAGGGGTTACTACTCAAGAGAACTTAGTTAAGTATCTGTAAAACCTAAGATTTGTAAAAAAAAAAGAATTTTTTTTTAACTTCTTGGAGCATTACACAAATAAGATGTAGAGGTGATATGTAACGCTAATAATTATACCATGGTAATAAAAGCAGTCTTGTCATTTAGAAACAATAGTGACAGCTGTATCTTCTCTCCCTGTCTGTCTTTGTCTCATACACAGAGTATATAATCAACCAACTGCTTATACGAAGATCCTTTTAGTACCATTAGCAATCACATTTAGAAACACCAGGTAACTATTCCAAGAAGGCATTTTTTTTTCATCTTTATTGGAGTATAATTGCTTTACAGTGTTGTGTTAGTTTCTGCTGTACAACAAAGTGAATCAGCTAGACGTATACATACATCCCCATATCTCCTCCCTCTTGTGTCTCCCTCCCACCCTCCCTATCCCACCCCTCTAGGTGGTCACAAAGCACCGAGCTGATCTCCCTGTGCTATGCGGCTGCTTCCCACTAGCTAGCTATTTCACATTTGGTAGTGTAGTCCATGCCACTCTCTCGCTTTGTCCCAGCTTCTCCTTCCCCTTCCAAAGCATTTTAAATTTCTCTCACGGCCCGAGCTGTCACCTTGGAGAGGAAGAGTTGGGTTCCGTGCCAAATCACAGGAAAAGATTTCTCTGGAACGCCAGGATCTCCACAGGTGCCCATTCACCCCTTAAGCATGTAGACACTTTGAGGCAGTGCCTGAAACAGTGCCTGGGTTAATAGGAACACAGTAGGCACATAGTAGGTACTCAGCAAGTAGCAAATATACAAAAGTGGCATCTGCTCTGGAAAATAATCTTCACTTTAAAACTGTCAGATGGGGGGTGCTTCCTTGGTGGCAAAGTGGTTAAGAATCCGCCTGCCAGGGCAGGGGACACGGGTGTCACAACTACTGAGCCTGCGCTCTAGAGCCCGCGAGGCACAACTACTGAGTCCATGTGCCACAACTACTGAAGCCCACGCACCTAGAGCCCAAGCTCCGCAACAAGAGAAGCCACCGCGATGAGAAGCCCGCGCACCGCAACAAAGAGCAGCCCCCACTCGCTGCAACTAGAGAAAGCCTACACGTAACAACGAAGACCCACTGCAGCCATAAATAAATAAAATAAATAAATAAATAAAAATGTCAGATGGCATAGAGAACAGACTTGTGGTTACCAAGGGGAGGGGGTTGTGGGAGGGGTGCATTGGGAATTTGGGGTTAGCAGATGCAAACTATTACATATAGGATGGATAAGCTACAAGGTCCTACTTATAGCACAGGGAACTATATTCAATATCCTGTGATAGACCATAATTTGGAAAAGAATCTGAAAAGGAATGTACATATGTGTGTAACTGAGTCACTTTACTGCACAGCAGAGATGAACACAACACTGTAAGTCAACTACACTTCAACAAAAAAATAAATTAAAAAAAAGACAGATGGAATGTCTACACTTATCCATGGACTTGACCTGAAAGGTTACATTTTAGTGAACCTTTCTAATATTAACTTTGTTAGTGTGGACTTTTCTTGCAGTGGTGATGATGCCTAGTGAGTGGAATGAGGTAGGGGAGTGAGAGGAAGCCTGGCCAGGTGGAGGGCATCCCAGACCTGCTCTGAGGACTCACCATACACCTGGGGGGACAAGGCTGGTGACATAGCACAGCACACAGCTGAGCTCACAGGTAGGAGGAACTGAGAATATTCGTTTCTGTGTGCAATCCTGTATGGAGCCCTTTTTATTTTTTGCGGTACACGGGCCTCTCACTGTTGTGGCCTCTCCCGTTGAGGAGCACAGGCTCCGGACGTGCAGGCTCAGCGGCCATGGCTCACGGGCCCAGCTGCTCCGCGGCATGTGGGATCTTCCCGGACCGGGCCACGAACCCGCGTCCCCTGCATCGGCAGGCGGACTCTCAACCACTGCGCCACCAGGGAAGCCCGTGGAGCCCATTTTGACATCCAATGCAAAACTAATATTAACGAAACAGGATGGGGGTGAGAAGTGAACAGTGCAAAGCCCCAGGCAGTGATCATGTGTTGACTTTACAGGATGCCCCAAACAGCACCCCCCGAATTACTACAGTTTGCGAGCTTGGCCAGGCCACTTTGCCCACCCAAGCTTCCATCCCCTCAGTTGAAAATTAGGGATAATTATGTTGCCTACCTCACAGCAAAACGGTGATAGGGCTCCCATGAGAATGAAGAGAGTTCGCATTGACATGCCGAGAAAGGAAGGATGCTGCATGAATATTTATGATTATGACTCACAGAGGTGAACCTAAAAGGTAAAGACAGGGGTGACTGGCTGGGTGTTACAATGTCAGGGGAATGCTTCACAGTCTGATTCTGATTCCAGAAAATTCCATGGGTATCCTAGTGACCTCACTAACTTCGGTGCCTGCTGGTTTGGACAGGTAGACAGTACCTGGCCTCTGGGGCGCTGGACAGGCAAAGCCGCCCTTGTGCTGTGAGTGAGCTGTGCGCCTGCCTGGTGGCCCTGTCTTTGCCCGGCGTGGCAGTGGCCTCCCTCCCCTACCCCAGCCCCAGCCTCCATCCTCTCCCTCTGCAGCGGCCGATCAGTGGCCTTCTGGGCTCCTTTCTGTCCACGCTTCCACTGTGGCTGGGCTCACTCTGATTCAGGAGCTCTGGATCTTTCCTGGGCAGCCCCAGGGCACAGGGACCAGGTGGGGCCCGGCTTCCCGGGGAGCGGGGAGGGGGACTGTCTTCAAACTGAGAAAGGAAAAAGCCCTCGAACTAATCAGGATTTAAAATCCTCCAGTGATGGCCATCACGAAGAAAACAACGACCGTCACGGGGGAGAGAAGGCGGGAGGCCGTGGGAAGGCAGGCGCCACGCACACGTGGTGTCCGAGGTGGAGTCCCAGACCTTCCCGGGAAGGGAGAGATCCTTTCTGGCTGACTCCCCTGACTCTGTGTTTCCTACAATTCTACAACAAAGATCCAGGAACATGAGAAAAGGAAACTGAGAAAAATGTGTCCTGTAATCCAAATTCAAGAAAGAACAGGACAGACGATGTGAGCCAGATAGAAATGAGGCCAAGAGTGCTTTCTTGGGGCCCCAGCACTTTTTTTTTCTTTTTTTTTGTGAAAAGCCCAAACCTGTTTAACTGCTTCGTGTGAACGAGGGTTCTGGGATGCAGTTCACAATGGGAAAGGAAATCTGATTAGCACTGGCAACCTCACCTTCAATCTTAGGTCAATCTAGTCCAACGGCACATTAAGAGTGATTGCTACCAATTGATTCCTAAAAGAAAGAAAAGTGAGAGGACGGGAGGGAGAGAGAGGGAGAGGAAGCGGAAGCGGACGCAGGGGACACAGTTTAATGAAGGGTTACACTGAGAAAGGTCATCCTATATCAGCTGCAGAAAGCGAGCATCCCTTCTCATTGCCGACCCCGATAAATCCCCAGGTTCCATTGCGCATGCATGGACACTGCTAGGACCCTTCCCTCCGCTCTCTATATCACGTTCCTGGTAATTTAAGTGATCAAATTTCTACAATTAGGACTGGAAATGTACTATTAACAACCCACATTTGTATATTGCTCTACAGTTTGTGAAGCAGTTGTGTAATTGTTATCACGTTTGGTCCTTCACCACCGAGCTCGGGGCAAGATGGTACTGGTCCCATTTTACAAGTGAGGATGCTGTACCGAGACTCAAGAGATTGCCGCTCGAAGAAGGTCACAGGGTGACAGGAATCCAAGGCAGAGACCGATGCCAAATCTCACGACCTTTCCCCTGTCCTGGGAGAATGGCCACAGCGGACACAAAGAGGGAAACTGAGGCACAGACTAGCCTAGTGATTTAGTTACTCATTCACTGTGTAAATGAAATGGTGGAGACCATCAGCTCTTAGTTAGAACACCTTAGAGTTTCAACCTATTAAAATCGACGCCGTTATCTAAGGCAAAAAAGACCTCCAGCGACCTTACAGTTCTCATGAAAAGGGCTGTGTATCAAGAAAGCATTGGACCCAGTGGGAATCAGAAGGATTTAGCTGTACTTCCTGTGTCCTTATGTGCTAATATGATTATCTCATAGTAGCTATTATCTGTGTCCTATGAATAATGTCGTCCCAGCGATTCTGGAGAACAAGAGTGGAGTTCCAGGCCCTTGAAAACAATCATGGGCAGCGTCTGAGTAATCTAGTACCTTGAATCACAAGCAGGAGGCAAGTCTCAGTTTGGAATCAGAAAAGAAGTGATACAAACCTTTTTAAGCTTTGGAAGGGAGGGAAGCCCGGGCAGACCCAGGATGTGACTTGAAAGGTTGGCTGCTTCTCTCTTGCTTTCTTTCCCCCTGGCCCGCTGCGGCCTGCCCTCCTGGGCCCACCCTCTGCTTCAAATCCTGCCAGATGACTGACAGGCCTGCAGGACCTCGAGGCCGACCCAGACACCTCCAGGCAGGGCTGCAACCTCCACACAGAAGAAGCCCATTCTGCGCACAGGTTTGCTTCGCAGACTGATTCAAATCCCACTTCAGGCACAAATCCCAATTACTGGACATGCCGAATGTAAGGCGTATATGTTTTTCCCCTTCCAAGTTCTTTTGTTGCACTGCTTTTCCTACGGAGATATGAGACTGTTTCCATGATGCAAGACATCCTTCCTTTCTAGAATTTCCAGGAAGCGCCGTTGCCTCCCACGTGTTAGATTTAATGTAATTCAAACCGAAGTTTGAGGCTCTTTCTCCTAATTCAGGAAAAGTTGTGAGCTTGGCAGCTCTGATGGAAAGAATTCTTTTCTTTAATGGCAGTGGATTTGGGGGGGTGTTTTTCTCATTTTGGTTGTGTGTATATGTTTCATAAGAGTGCATAGGAGAATTAAACTCAAAAAGCAACTGCTTGAAGAGATAGAAGCTCTTGTAATTCGTGTTGTGCATAATGGATTTGGCAGGGCCCAAGCACAGAAATTTCCAGAAGTGTTTGCGTGGCAGCAGTTCTGAGCCAATTCACATTTTTTAGCTGTCCTGGCCAGCTGCCCAGCCTACAAAAAAAGTCTTGTATCTCCACAAGTTTGGCTGGCCTTTCTGATGAGTTTCCAAACTGCATGGCAACATTGGATGAGCTTATTTTCAAGTGCCAAAAAAACTCCTGCTACTTATATTGTTACTAAATACCAGATGTGCTTAATACAGAGTGGGCAGAACCAAACCTAGGGTAATCACATAACCTATCATTAACATTTTCTAAAAACAAAAAATGCAATTGGAACCCCAGATTACTGTTTTTCTTTGTTTGCTTTACGCCCTATTACTGGAACCCCTAGGGTGATGGGAACAGGACTCGGGGTGGAAAGGCAGGCTCTGGCAGCGACAAGGACGCTGTTTACCATCACACCCCTGCACATCTGAAACATGTGTGAGAAAGCCTCAGCCCCAGCAGATTTCCTCCAGCCTCACCCCTTCACCACCCGCCCCGCCGGGACTCAGCAGGCCGAGGCTCTCACCGCACGGGAGAGCCCTGAAAAGCTGAGGTGCACTGGGACTTGACCTTGAAGGAGAGAAATGTACAGGGAGATGGGCGGGTAGTGTTGCGAGTTGGCAGATGAGAGGCTGGGCCAGAGTTGGCAGCTGTTGCTGGAAAAATGCAGAGAAATTCTGAAAGGCTTGAGGAGACAACAGGATGCTGTGTGGCTTTGTCAGAGGCCCTGGCTGGGCTTCAATGGGTAGAACTGGAAGGATTTCTCGATGCAAAAATCTCCAATTCTATCCCCCAGCCCCCCACCCATCGCTATAATTTCTCTTCTTTTCCTGCTTCCTTCCTTCCTTCCTTCTTTCTTTCTTTCTTTCTTCTTTCTTTCTTTCTTTCTTTCTTTCTTTCTTCTTTCTTTCTTTCTTTCTCTTTCTTTCTTTCTTTCTCTTTCTTTCTTTCTTTCTCTTTCTTTCTTTCTTCTTTTTTTCTTTCTTTTTCTTTCCTTCTTTCTTTCCCTCTCTCTCCTTCGTTCCTTCCTTCTTTCTTTCTTTCTCTCCCTCATTCTTCCTTCCTTCCTTCTTTCCTCCCTTCCTTCCTTCCTTCCCCCCCTCTCTCCCTCCTCTCCTTTCTTTCCTTTCTTTCTCTCTGGTAGTTTTCTGGGAATCCAGTGGGGAGGGATGTGTGCCTGGATCTTCACGCTGTATTCCAGGCCATTCCTGCCATCGGGCTCCCTCTTCCCTACCTCCACGCCCTGAGCACTTGGTTCTCCAAACCTCTATGCCTTCTGTCTTGTAGTCCTGCCTCCAAAACTCACAGTTATGGAAAGGGCATCCTTCTCACCCCAAGGTTGGGGACCCTGATAGACAGACGGCAAGCACGCGTGTCGGGCTGATTAGAGAGAAAGACGGACTATGGCAAAATGAAATTTTATAGATGGAGGTGGCATCTCACCATAAGAAATTTGAGAGTTAATAACTATTCTGAAAATATTGGTTATCTGCATTAGGACAACTGTAGAAATAAAGGAATCAGTGACTCAACCCTTAGAGAGTTGTCTTAGGAGACCTGTTACTAAAAATATATTGTAATCCAACTGTACCTTGCATGCCATTTTGCCAAGCCAAACTCAGCGAGAAGACTGCAGGCTTTCTCCACCGCGTGGCATCATCAGGGGGATAAAAGTGAGCCTGGTCTAATGAGCAACGAAACACTTTGTAAATATTTGATTTAAGGGGATGCGAATAGTAAAATAACGTGGAGCTGATGTCTGCAATGACTTTTGAACTTTCCTCCTAACTACAGGCACATGTGTTTTACACACCAGCTGTGTTCCTGAAAAGTCGAGTTTCAATCCATATGCTAAGTGGAATTATGTTTCAGATGTTCTAGGGATACTCCTGACTTGGGGAAACCAGGAATCAGTGAAGAGGCTACAGACAAAGCCTCACTCACGACCGCTTGGTCTCTGCTCAGTTTGGATGGCCCCCTCTGCCCCCGGCCGAGGCCAAGCCTTTGAGGATGCAGAGTCAGCATTGGCAGTGGTTCATTTCATCGCTGGGTCTGCGGAGGAAAGGGCTGGTCCTAGGGAAGGGTCAAGGGCAGGCTGTTTTGTTTTCTAGCAGCAAAACAGAGGAGGCTGGAGGAAACCACCCAAGCGCCAAGCACTGCAGAGGGCAAGTGAAATCGGAGTTTAAAAACAAAAGTGGAGGAGCCCATCTCCTTGAAGCTGTTTATATTACATAACTCAAATAAACACAGCAGTGCAGGCATGGTTCCCTCGGTGAGGGCCAGGACCACAGAGTCCAGAGGCGGACAAAGGGCACCTCCTCCAGCCTCTGGCTAGAAATGGCTCCTTTAAAACAACAACAACAGCATTAATAATATTCGGCGACACACCAGGACAATTCAGGAGGATAGCCTGAATAAATTGAGTAGAGGACTCATGCTAATTAGGACTTGTAAGGTGACTTTCTTTTCTCTTGCTAAGGAAAGAAATCCTTGTCAGAGCAATGGGGAGAAGCAAAGTTGACCCAAAACGGCTATTTGCATTTTGCAAAGGAGGGACAAGAGGCACTCGATCCTGCCGTGAAATCCTGCAGGAGCACGGAGGCCACTTTCTCAGGCACTGGGGGGGGGCGGGGAAGCTGGCTTTCTGACTTCAGCCCCTCCTCAGCCCAGGGTGATGGGAAGCATCGGGCAGTTTTATGGAATCCGCCTGAAGAATAAAGAACATGAAATAAAAGTTAGCCACTCAGTAAATGGACACAGACCTACAGGCCCGGCGTCTGAACGAAATCAGAGAGTCTTGAAATTGAGAGCAGGCAAGAACCGACTGCAACCTTTTTCGTCAGTCGCCTGCAGTGTCCCAGGACAGCAGCCCTATCGTATGCCAGGGGACAAGAATAGAAAGAAAAATTGAGAACACAGCCCTGAGCACGGGCTGGCGGTATCGGTTGCCAGCAGTTGCCCCATTAGTAGGCTATGGGGACATGCGAGGGAATTTTTCTGTACGAAGCTTGTGTTTAAAAATATATCTTGCTTCAAAGCTGGTGCGGGAGTGGCTGGGGAATGAGAGCCTGCTTTCCCTGCGCAGAGCAGTTTGCTCATCCTTCTGTGATTTACTGCACGGCACTTACCTCTCTGAGGCTGCCCCTATATGCCACATGGCAGTGACCAAGACCTCAACCTGGCTCTTAGAAAGCTAACACGTAGGACGATTCCTGGACGAAAGCCACGCTCCAGAAACATCCTCCCCAGTGGCTTGCTGGAAGCACACGGGGCCAGGGATGGAGGCTGAGAGGAACGCTTCCCCACCAGGGCCTCTCTGACCCTTCTCACTCCATGGATGTGTCCCCGGGGATGCATCCCTCCCCATGTCCTTATTCTCAAAAGGAGGACACCAGTTCCTACCTACCTTTTAAGGGCGTTCAGGTGTAATAGCTAATGGAAATGACTTGAAAGCCCCTGGCAAACACAAAGTTCGAGATCGAGTGCTGAATGGTGGCCTCCCTCACCTACCCTACCTAAGGCATTACTTATGTGCCCCCACCTTTAAACCCTTTGCTGAAAGACTGCTCCGTGGGGTGTGAAGCTGATCTGTGCCGAAGAAATCTCAGGTTCCTCCAGAGAAGTTTGCCTTTGCAGGAACTGCTGAAATCCTTACACGTCCAAACGCATATTCTGGGTAGGAAACAACAGGTGATGAGCTGCCAAGGCTGAGAGGCTGCCAGGATCCACCCATGGGCACCCAGGGTTTGGCACCCGTTTCCCAGGGAGAGATGAAAGGGAACAAATCAACACGGCAGGGTCAAGTTCAAGTCTGCCTCAATGAAACTCTGGAGACCTCCTTCTTGAAAAACAACTGGGACAGTGTGACAGCTGTTTAAGGATGCCAAAGAAAAGTGTCCCCGGGGAAAGCTCCCCAGGGGATGCTCTGTTTGCAAGAGGCAGTTGTGAGTGACACACAAGACAGACAGCCAGGAGCGGGGACAGCCCGGCCCCTGTGAACTCTCCACCGTCCCTGGGGTCGGGACCACCCACCAGACGTGAAGTCTTGTATTCCGTGCCAAGGATGATGGCAGTGGTAACCGTGCTGGTGCTGCTGTTCTTCGGTGCCTGTTAGAGACTAGATTGCTCTGAAGCCATGGCTCCTGGAGGGGTCCTTCCTGGGAAACGCTTACCACCTTGGACGCCTCACAGCTCCTGTGGTTGTTTCCTCTGAGGGTCTTTATCAACCAGACACAAATCAGGTTTTATGGTTGCCCATTATTTGCAGCTACTTCACTTTTTTAATTCTTAATTGTTGGCCACGAGGTTTGTGGGATCTTAGTTCCCCGACCAAGGATCGAACCCACACCCGCTGCAGTAGAAGTGCTGAGTCCTAACTACTGGACCACCAGGGAACTCCCTGCAGCTACTTTATAATCTGGTCAGTGCTTCCCCGTGGCAAATGGGTGATGGGACATCAAGACAAGAGGATGGGGACAAAGTGTCCATCCAGAGATGCTACACCCTGGAGGTGAAGGCGGACAACACGATGGTCCCCGTTTGTGTGGGAGCTGCCACCTCTGAAGCAGGCTGGGTGGATGTGTCTCATGGAAAGCATTGGACTTGGGTCCCAAAGACTTGGATCTGACTCCTGGACCAACCACTTCCTAGCAGTATGGAGTGGGGCACATTAGTGAACCTTTCTGAGTCTCAGTGGTCTCACCTGTAAACTGGAGCTGAGACCTATCTGTCAGGGCAGTTAGGGAGTTCCAAGGAAGCACCTCACTCCCAGAGACACAATAAACATTAGCTGAAACAGCAAAATCTGATTCGGTATATGGGCGTGACCTCACCTCCAAGGGCGTTAAATTCAGTCACCTAGCAGGTAGGGTGTCCTCCTGTCTCACCCCCAAGAGTAGGGGGACAGAGCCCGGAAGTCAGCCTGCCACCTCCCCACCAAGGGCTGGTGACGGAGCCCAGGCCGAGCCGGAGCTGTGCGTCCCCGGCGATCCAGAGCGCCTGCCACCACGCAGTTGTGAGCTTTTCCAGAGCACGCGGCTTGGACCATTTGCTGAGCTCCATCGCTCCCGGCTACTCAGGGGGCATCTCTTTCCTCCAGGCCCCTAGGGCACCACTCTGGGAACTGAAGCCCCAGAAAAAGTACAAATAGAAGGAAGCTCAGCGTTATATTCTTTCCAGATGAATCTCCAGGATGCAGCCGCCCCGGGAGAGTCCCAGACCGGCAGCAAACCTGTCTGTGTGAGTCTGCCTCAACATGCTATTTGGAAAGTCAAGATTTTCAATGTAAACTTTGTTCTCCCTTCCCATTCTTTGGGGATTCACAGTTGGAGCTCTTTGCAGCCCTTCCTCTCCACGTCTCCCTGGTGCTGAAATGGGAGGTCACACGACATCCCTGTAAGAACAAGTCCTTGGTGCCAGCGTCCTATCAGAGGGCAGAGCGGCACTGGCTCCTGAGTTTGCCTGGGTGCTGGTTTCTCAGTGACACTATCTTTGGCAGATTTTTTTATCCTTGTTCTTTATCTCAAGCCCATCGGGCAAATGACAGCGGAATCGCAAGCTTGAATGGGCTTGTCTGACAGGCCAACTTTTCTCCTGGGCTCAGCCGCCTGACTTTTAAAAAGGCACTCCAAGCAGAGGAAAGTAATTTCACACCGATTCCTTGCTGTAATTTGCTTTTGGGTTTAAAATGTCGCGTTTCAATCACCCTGGCTGTGCGGCGTAAGGGAGAAGATGGGCCATGCGTGTGGTTAATGTCTCTGTAATAGATACACGCAAAGGCACTGCTTTGCTCTGAAGCAACAGCCCTGGGAACACTGAGCTGCAGACCAAGGAACTCTCTACCAGCCGCAGACAAGTGCATTCAAAGGGCTCCGTAACAGATGACTGGCTCCCGCAGAAAGAGGGCCACTTGTAACAGAAGTCTCACGTGGAAATCTCCACTATGCAAGCATGTATTAGAATATTTTTATGCTCCAGGCTGTGTGAAGCTGGGGTGGACTTAGGAAACCCTGCAAAGTGAGAGGATCTGAAACCCAGATCTAAACACAGTGAGGCTCAGATGAAGTCCAGCTGGGGATGCAAAATCCCACTTGGATAAGGGGAAGCTGGAGGATACAGGCCAAAAGGGAAAGAAGTCCCCACGCTGTGAGCACGGGTAAGGCTGTGCTTGGAGAATCCTCTAATCAAAAGGACAGAGGCTCCCGGAAAGGTCAAGGGACAGGGTTGTACCCAGTTTGGCAGCGGGAAGCAATGGCTTTTCCTGATTTATAATCTGCCTGTGGAAGCACCTCTCCCGTTTCTTCACCACCTCTCACCACACTCGTGATGGAGGCCGTACTGCCTGACGCTTAATTAGTCTTTCTGCCCATAGCCTGTAATGTTTCACGTTTCTTACTCCTCGCCTGGCCTATGTGTGCCTTGAGGTCAGGAACCAGCATGCAGCCCTCTCTGCGTGCCCTGAGGCTCCTTCCCAGGGCTTAATAACTACCCAGAGCATATGAGAGCCCTTCACACACGGCTCACAAAGCTTCAGGAGTACTAGCGGGATTGCGTAAGGCTCAGGCAGGCTATTTCGAGGCGAACAAATCCCAGCTCATTCTCGGTGGGATACCAGGCTGCTGACGGTCTCTCCCACCCGCCTTTCGTGCCTTCCTGGCCGTGACACCATATGTTATATATGCCAGCTGAGCAGAACCGAATGCTCTCGGGCCTCTGGGTCTTTGCGCACACTCTTCTCTCCACCTGGTTGCCCTTCCCTCATTCATCCATCTGTGGACTTGTCCGCTCAGCTCCAGGTCAACCCTCCCCTCCAGACAAAGCTTCAGGCATCCCGCGGGCAGAGCTGGTGACGCCTTGTGCTGTGGGCCCAGGGTACTCGGCCTGACGCGGCGACTGGGCCAGCTTCCCTGCCATCGGGTCGGTACTGCCTGTTGGCAGGTCTGCCTCTTCCGTCGGGCTGTGAGTGCCTTGAGGGCAGGACCCACATTCCTCCTCGTCCCTCAGCTCTCGGTCCTCAGCACAGTGCCTGGCACCAGTACAAGTTTATTGAAGGAATATGTTTGCCCACATTGGGTAGATCATGGGGAAGACGGGACCAGGGCCCAGTAAGTAATATGGGGACAGAGCAAAGGGGATCCTGCTGGGAGATAAGCAAGCTGCAGAGAGAAGCAAGGCCCCGGGGCCCCTCTTGATGAGCTAGGGCACCCAGGACCAATCCTACATAGGATGTTCTGAGAAATGATGCTTGTGATGTGATCCTTTGGATAGCTTGTCCCACTTTGGGGGTTTCTCTGTATTTCCTTCCAAGTCTTTAGGCAACCTTCTCTTACTGCGTTCAGGTACTCTGCCCACCAAGATCGTTATTAATAGTTTCCAGGGATAGACTGGTGGGGGGGGTAGCAGTGCAATGGGTGGGGGGCCAGGGAGGAGAGGGTAGCAGTAGCCCTGGAGGGGGGGCGGGGGTGGAAGAGGATACGATTAGGATCACGGACCCCAGCCTGGCTTCGGATCCCAGCCGAAAAGAAGCAGTGAGAGGGCCTCAGCCTTCCTGCCTGGGCCAAGAGTGATGGCTCTATCGCTGAGTTGCTCAGAACATTGAGCAAATTAATGCATGGAAGCATCCAGAGTGGGGCCTGGTACATAGTAGTTGCTACTGAAATCCAGGTCCTGTCATCTGGAACCAGAAGCTGGAGTCCAGCCTGGCTTTCTCCACTTGTGAGTTGTCTGACCCGGGTAGGTCACGTCACCTCACCTCTCCACTCATGTTCTCTTGACTCTGATATGGAGACAGAAATGCTGACCTCGTGGGCCATTGTGAGAATCAAGGAGAGGAGGGGAGTGAATGTGTTTTGTAAAAGCTATGAGGTGCTTTCCGGAGGTGCTTGTGAAGTTACCTGGGTGAAGGTTGGGAAGGTGAGGACACCTCAGATATCCTGCCTCTATGGAGTCAATGATTGTGTATTAACTTTAAATACATTTCTGTAAAGTGATGCTTTAATAGCCACCTAAGGGCCTATTAGGTACCCCTGAGCAAACTGTGACTCTCGTTTTGATGGCCGGTTCTATGGGTCAAATTGGCTGGACCACAGTACCCAGATATTTAGTCAGACATTATTGTTTCCGTGAGGGCGTTTTTGGATGAGATTAACATTTAAATCATTGCACTCTGAGTAAAGCAGATTACCTTCCGTAATGTGGGTGGGCCTCATCCAATCAGTCAGAGGCCTGAATAGAACAAAAGACTGATGGCCCCCAAGGAAGAGGGAATTGTGCCAGCAGACAGCCTGTGGACTTGAACTGCAGCCCTGGCTCTTCCGCGGGTCTCCAGCCTGCTGGCCTACCCTACAGATTTTGGACTTGCCAAGCTCCAAAGTTGCATGAACCAGTCCCTTAAAAATCAGTCTTTCTCTCTCTTCCTTTTTCTCCCTCTGTACACACATGGGCGCGTGCATGCACACTACTTGTTCTGTTTCTCTGGAGCGCACTAACTGATGCACCCAGAAACACCCAGAAACCTTAGGGATCCTCAGATAGCTTTAACCTATATCCTCTGACAGTCACAGTGAACATGAATCTCACAGGGTGCCGCTTTCAAACATAGCTGGTCAAATCTAAGCTTGATTGCCCTACCTCACCCATTCCTCGCCATGGAAACCACATAAAGATTCTTGCCCACAGGTTCCCCCCAGCTCCCTCTGCCTCTTGACTGACCTGGTGCTTCCCCATGTGACCCTGCATGGTGTCTTATGTTCTCCCCAAGGAGCCGTGAGTATAATCAAGTCTTTAAACTGTCTCAGTCTCTCTCTGTGTTGACTTGCATCTGGTCTTACTAATGCCCATCCAAGGTACTATGACAAAACAGACCATGGCTTCAGCCCAGTGCTAGGAAAACCCTGGCCAGCGTCCAGAGATGGGCAAGTGGGTTACTGTCAGTGTCGTGTGTCACTCTGCTAGAGGCCACGGTACTATTTTATGTGAGATCTGGGGCTGATAGAAACAGCAGTCAGCTTCTCAAGCAGCTCAGGCCAAAAGAACGACTCCTCGCATAAAACAGAAACACCATCATCGTCATTATAAACATGATGTGGCCCTACAAAGAGCCCAAGTGAGCAGTATTCTCAGTGGGACCAAACGTTCATCCCGAGTGAGGGTTTTTACTGGTT